CCCCCCCCCCCCCCCCCCCCCCACTCGTTGATGCGCGCCGCCATCCAGGGGTGCGGTCTTACCGTGGACAGCTTCGCAGGCAACCGTGCTACCTTTGTCGTTACCGGGAGCGGCAACACGTACATTCTGGGTGACTCTAGCCTGGACTGCGTGGTGGAGTTTACGGACACCCCTTCTCCCACCTCGACGGGCACCACTTTCTCGCCGACCGATACGCTTGCCCCTGGCGCTACGCTTGCCCCTGGCGCTACCCCTGCTCCAGGAGCCACGCTCGCTCCAGGAGCTACGCTTGCCCCACGAGCTACGCTTGCCCCTGGAACTACGATTGCTCCTGGCGCTACGCTTGCTCCTGGCGCAACCCTTGTCCCTGGAACTACGCTTGCTCCTGGCGCTACGCGTGCTCCTGGCGCTACGCGTGCTCCTGGCGCAACCCTTGCCCCTGGCGCAACCCTTGATCCAGGAGCCACGCTCGCTCCAGGAGCTACGCTTGCCCCAGGAACTACGCTTGCTCCTGGTGCTACGCTGGCCCCACCAGCTACTCTTGCTCCTGGTGCTACGCTTGCTCCTGGTGCCACGCTTGCCCCAGGAACTACGCTTGCTCCTGGTGCTACGCTTGCTCCTGGCGCTACGCGTGCTCCTGGCGCTACGCTTGCTCCTGCCCCAACCCTTGTCCCTGGAACTACGCTTGCTCCTGGTGCTACGCTGGCCCCACCAGCTACGCGTGCTCCTGGCGCTACGCTTGCTCCTGGTGCTACGCTGGCCCCACCAGCTACTCTTGCTCCTGGTGCTACGCTTGCTCCTGGTGCCACGCTTGCCCCAGGAACTACGCTTGCTCCTGGTGCTACGCTGGCCCCACCAGCTACTCTTGCTCCTGGCGTTACGCGTGCTCCTGGCGCTACGCTTGCTCCTGGTGCCACGCTATTTCCTGACGCTACCCTAGCTCCAGGGCAAACGGGCTTTCCCTCTAGCTTGGTGAGTTTCGGGGCTACTCATGCGTCTGTCGGTTGATAGCAGTAGGCAAGCCCGCTTTCAGTCTGATCCTAGTTCTCGTCTGCATGCCTGATGTCCTTTTATACCTATGACCCCGATTCGTCTTTTTTTTTTTTTGTCGTTCTCGTCCCAGGCACCATCATCTTCAAACTCGTCCGTGTCCCCTACCTCCTCCCCGACCGCCGTACCCACGGGGTCCTCCATGTCCCCCACGACTGTCCCTACCGCTGCACCGACTACGGCACCGACGATGGCAGCCGTAGGAGACGTCGGCGCAACCGTCACGGGATCCCTGACGGTAAGTCAGCCAGGGAAGAGAGATCGATGTGTGCGTTTGCTTGCCGCTGAGTCAGCTAGGGAAGAGGAACGTGTGTGTAGCCGCAGGAGTTGGAGGAGGACCTCTGGAGAAATTTTGGCAGCGCTTCGGAACTCCTGCAAATGGCGGAATTGTTCCAGAGGAGGGGGGACTCGGGACCCTAGATGGAGCTGGAGCATCGAAAAGTGTACTAGGGGGCTGCTCAAAGGCAGTGATACTTGGGTGTGCTTGGTCGAAAAATTCGCTGAGGTACTTGTTGATGCTGCTGCGAATTGAAAGAAACGAACGCGATTTTTTTTTGTTTTGGTTTAGGTGTCCGGGGTAGCCGAGGAGACGGAGGAAGAGGAAGTGTACGAGGCCGCCCGCGAGGGGCTCGAGGAGTTGTTCGGCATTTCGTCCGCCGGAGGAGGAGGAGTCGTCGTGGGGGCACCGGGCACCTTGGACTCGGACAAGGACGATGACGCTGCTGCTGCCGCCGCTGCTGCTACTGCTGCTCCCTCTCCTACGCCCGTCGTCGGCACCGCCGCCGCTGGCGTTGCTGCCGATGATGACATCGGTGCTGGGACGGCGGAGGTAATCGGGGAGGACGGCCGACGCCGCATGTCCGAAAGGGTGCCGCCGGCGTTGTCGCGGTACGACCGTCGAGATGAGGCGACAAGTCTCAGTCACTACCAGCCGGAGGCCGGCCTTGTCGCGGAAGCCAGAGATCCCCTTGGCGGCTTTAATGTCGCGTTGGGGGGGCAGCGGCGGTGGCTGCAGGAGGAAGAGGAGGACCCAGAGAGCGAGAGCGAGACGGTGGACATGGACTTCGAGGTTACTGTGCCAGCTGACGACGGCGAGATCGGCTCGTCAGCGTCGCGTGTGGCGGCGATGGTGAACGAGTTTGCCGATTCGGGGCTGGCCACGCTGGCCGACTATCTCGGGGTAGAACCGGATGACCTCAGGTATCAAGGATATGCATGTATTCTAGATGTATGTACCATGTAACTATTAGCAGGATAAATTTTGTGAGCGCTGGTTTAAGTGATGAGACAAAGAAGGTATGCGTACTTCGTAACAGTTTTGGCCGCTTGGATGTATGACATAGAAGTAGCTGGATTGTGTGTATTTCACGTTGTGTAGGCCCGCCAAGAACGGGCTCGATTCTTGTATTTCATTACGACCGTAAATCGCCAACCTTTCATCCTGTCGCTTGTCTCGTACCGTCTTGCTCCTGCAACCGCCGCCGTTACAGCTTGTCCGACCTAGCGTTCTGCATCGGCAGCACCGACTGCGGTAACGTCTCGACGGTGGTGTCGACCATGTCCGCTGTCGACGAGCTCGGCACGAGCGGGCCATGGGAGAACTTCTTGACAAACGGCGGCTTGCTTCTGCTGGCCCTCTTCGGCACCTTGTGTGTCTGGTGAGCGAGCACACTTTTACGTTGTTTTTTCCTCGAACGTATTGAATAGCGGGCACGAAAATGAAAACATAGTGTTGTGTTTTGTTGTGTTTTGTTTTGTTTTCCCTTATAATTGCCAAAAAAAGCTCGGCACTAGAATGCCGTGAAGCGTTGTGATCTGATTTGTTCGAGGTCTTTTAGTAGTGTCTGCACCCGCCTGATTACTCGGTCAGCCCCTTGGCGCGAACAGCTCACACAGCGGTAGGTAGCGGTTCCGCCGCATGCTCGACGGAGTTTCTTTTTTTGCAGAAGCTTCGTACCTTGTGCAAATTTGGACGCACCGGCCGTAGACACACAGGAGGATGTCAGTCTCCACCTTTCGTCCGCGTTGCTTGCCTCCAACTTCTTTTTCCCCCATGCCAGAAAATTGAACCAAATCTTTGATTTCGTTCCATCCCCCCCCCCCCTTCGCGCGTGCTTTGCTTGGATTTGCTCCATACCCACTGGCTTCCCGCTCCTCATTTGTTGTCCGCAGTTTCTGCGCCGCGGGTGTGTGCTTCCACTGCCTGTTCAACGACGGGGCCTACGAAGACGTCGAGCACCTCAAGCCGGCACCGGTGGTCCCCGCTAAGCACACGGTCGACAAGGAAAAGGAGCAGGTTTCTCCCCGAGTTATCGACCTCTCGAGAATGTCCAACCGGTAAGACTAAGACAAGAACGCCTGTGCTCCATCGGCTGTTTTGTTTGTATGACGGAGAATAAGAAGGTGAAATTACTTGAAATTAGTATGGAAATAAAGTTTGTGTATCTAAATCGAAAATAAAACGGTCTGCGTTTGCGTTGATTGTTTGCGTTGCAAATTGATCATGTTTACGCGGGCGTGAGTGGCGAACGAGACGTCCCGAGCATCATGCTTAAGACGGCGGGCTACCAGCATACCAGCAGACAAAAAAAGACTTTAAAGTAATTCTCACCGCACTTACCCCTCTCCCGTGCCTGGCGAAACGACGATTCGTCGCGCTCGCAGAAGACTCAGGGTCCCCGATGACAAGCATTCCGATGGAGACTTTCCCCAGGGGTCACGCGGCGGCAGCAAGATGGGTGGTGGTGACTTCATGGAGGCCGGGATTCGCACCGTGTCGCCGGCGACTTCGAAGACCACGATCGGCTCGGTCCACTGGATGTCTCAGTTCGGCCATAAGAACTCCGCAGAGTAAGTTTTTTTGCTGTGGGGGTCGGTGGGGAAGGTTACGCAGGGGGAACAAACTTGGTGCTAGTGCGTGTGGATGCTGTACTGTACTGTACTGTATTGTACTGCACTGTACTGGAGTTGTTACTGATGCTGGGGGTCATCTCCACGTTGGACTCCGTCCTCAAGTTGATACGAATGAGGCAGGCCTTGATCAAACCACGCCTTACGACCCGGAACAGCCTTGTCTGAGGCATGATTCTCTTGCTTTCTCCCCGCTAAAGCTGCTCTACTTTTGCTATTCGACCTCTTGGGGTTCCCACCTTGTTTTGGCCGCTGTTGCATCGATCGGCACTGGTGTTGCAGATACGACCTACAGAACCCGCTGAGGGGACCGGGGGACAGTGTGGAGGGAACCCGTCGCTTCGGAGACATGGCAATGGTGAGGGGTAGTCTTCTATTTACAGCTGTACACTCTCATCTTCTGGAACATCTACAATAGCAGCAGTGCGAATAAATAGCCCATCTTTATGAAGGCCTTGTGTGGAAGATCGACGGTCATACGATTGGGTGTACTCATAGTCTCTTTTTTTTTATATAATCGTGCACGCCGTAGTCGCTAGACCATTGACCTCGCATCTCTACAAAGCCGGTCCCTACAAAGCCGGGACGGAGCACGCCGGGTTCTCACTGGACCAGGCCCTCACATCACCAAGCGCGAAGCGCCATGAGGTATTCGGCGAGTCGGATGAAGGGTGCGCTGCATCCTGCTAAGGGTGTTCGGCATCTTGTGCTTACTTCCTTGCGTACGGATGACAGCTGCGTATGACTTAATTTAATTTCTGGTGCTTTCACTTCCAGAGACAGTTGTAAGCACTGTCTGTAACTGCCTCGAGGGTGCTCGACCATTTTAACACAACGTGGTGCGATCATCCCCCTTGCGCGGAGTGAGGATTGTCCACCCCGCACAACATGATCTACTCGACCACCGGTACGGTTACCGCCAAAAAAAAAAGAGAGGTAAAACAAAATAAACGGTAACCTGGTTGCCGAGTTCACGAAGTGAACTGTCTTGTTTTACAACGTCGTTGCCACGCGACGAAAACCCAACCCTGATGTCAAACATCGGTCATACGATGGGATGGGTTGATTCCCCCACCAACAAGAGGGTCGAAGTGCTGAACAGGGTGGTCGGTGGCGGGAGATGTGGTCGACAAGCTGTGCTTTCTTTCGCGGCGCATCAGTCTGCGGTTTTCAATAGCTCTGTCTTGGTTGAGTTACAATCAAGCTTGGAAGTCAGTCTACGCTAGGGTGCGTAAAAATCACTGTCACCCTGCACAAGAAAGGCGAAAATACACGATAGGAGGGGAGAGTACAGCGATCACCAGCTGAGCGTGTTCAACATTCGTGTGAAATTACGCAGGATGTTAGAGCCCGTTGGTTACGGGCTGCTTTCGAGGCGCTGGCCGGTGTCGGAATCAAGGTTGGTTTTCGCCCGGCCGAAATAGACTCTTCTCTGTTGCCGCCTCCGGTTCCTTGAAGCCCCGCATGCCCTCCTCGCTTTCTGCGCCTCGCTACGCATGCCAACACTTGTTCGTTGTTGTTCTGCCTCGTCCGCTTGCCGCGAGCGGAAGTTGGGGGTATCTGTTGCTTTTTTCCTTTTGGTCCTGAGTTTTGTTGTGTACAATTGTTTCTTGGGTGTGCTCAATCCTTGCCGGCCGCATGCTCGTGACGACACTCGGTGCAGGGAAAGACTGAGACAGAAGAGGCCGGGCTGATTGGCCACTACAGAGATGACCGCTCAGAGGTGAGTGCCGAGAGGGCATGTGGTAATCGCGGGTGGAGTTTAGGTTAACTTGCCCACTGGTCAATTGTCTTTTACTTTCGTGTAATTGGTCTGAAGGCAACACACGATTAGTCTTATGACCGCACATGATCGGTATTTCGACAACAACAGCAACCACAGCAACAACAACAACAACAACAACAACAAAGAAGCCGTGGTCTTTCTCTTGTGTATGTACTCAAAAGTATTTTTCATCGCCTTGTTTTCGGTCTGAAGGCAAGACACGATTACGATTAGTCTTTTGACAAGACATGATCGGTATTTCGATAACCACAACAACGGAGACAAAGAAGCCATGTCTCCCTCTTGTGTTTGTATTCACAAGTATTTGTCATCGCTTTGTTGTATATGTTCTTTGCGTGTCTCTTCGTTTGTGCCATCCTTCCACTCATATCTGCTGCTTCCGCCATGTTCCTTCACCCACCCTTTACCTCCCCCCCTCCTACATTTATGCTTGCAAACACTTGCTAACAGGGAGAGTTCAAGACTACGAACCCGATGTTCCTGGGGGCAGACCTCGACAGCGCCAGCCCTAGCCCCCAGCCGATGCCCCCTTCGCTGGCTCCTCTCGGCTCCGGCACCGGCGTGTCCTCATCTGGTGGAGGCTACGGCGTGTCCCTATCCTCCAATAACCCCCTGTTCGGCACCGGTGGCTCGTCGTCGTCCTCGTTGCTGTCCGCTTCGAATGCGGCCGGCGCTGGTGGCGCCGTGCGCAGGGGGGCGCTTTCTGGTTCGCGATCACCGCCGACCATGCTGGGGGCGGCGGGAAACCGGAGCAGCAACGGAAGCATTGGGCGGATGAACTCGGCTGATGTGAGTTCTCACGAAACCGCATGCCGTATTCGTTAGATCATATGCTTACAACGCCGGGATGCGTTGGGGGCGGGCTGCGATTTTGAGTGTTTGTGTACACGGGTGTTGAATCGGGTCGTCTGCTGCACTCACTGTTGGGGATTGTCGGAAGTATGACGTATCCGTGAGGCGACCCTCCTATTCGTGGTCTTCCCTTGGCCTTTACCTCTGAAAACTCCAAAATCAATGAGTAAATAATATCAGACACCCATGTTTATATCTCAAGAGTGTCATTTTTTTGCCTGGTTTCCGCCCCAATCATATCATATACCGCCGGGTTCCTGTGCGAACACGAAGGTTGCCACTGCGGTGCTTTCGGAGCGCGACGAGTCTAGCGACGGATTCGAGGACGGCGGTGACAAGCCCCCCGGCGACGACGCGCTGCCCGACATCTTCGTGGCCAGGCGATCGCCAAGCAGTTCCGCGGCGGGGGGTGGCGGCTCCGTTGCTGAAGAGGAAAGGGGCCCCGCGGGGGGAGGAAGGGGCAGGGTGGTGACGCCAACCAGCCCTCTAGGCGGTGGTGGCGATGTGTATGGCGGTCTCGCTAGCGCGAGTCCTAGCGTTAGCCCGGCGGTCGTGATGGGCGGCTCGAGCGCTGGCCGGGCGGCGGCGGGGTTGGGAGTGGCGTTAGCAGCACAGGCTGGCGGGGGGGAGTCGGGCAGCGAAGACGGGTTTTCTGAGGACGCCGCCGCGAGCCCGTGGTCGGACGAGAGAGAAGGCCTTCGCCCGTCGTCCAAGCTTCCGTCGGACCCTTCGCAGGAGAGCTCTACCGCTGGCGCGAAGACGACGCGAAGCGGCACTGCTGTATCGAAAGAAGCCGCCGTGGTTGCCGCCGAAGCGAGGTCCGTGGAGGAGCACGGGCAGGTCGCGGAGGGAGCGCCGGCGCCGGCACCGGCACCGGCACCGGTTTCGGCGGAACGAAGGGCGGGGATAGCGGAGCAAACCGCCCCGGCTCCAGGGGCGAGCGATACGCGGCGTGGCAGCAGCGGTGGCGGCGGCGGCGGCGGCGGAGGAGGAGGAGGAGGAGGAGGCATTTCAGCCTGGAGAAACACGTGGCAAGGTGTGTGCGAGCAATGCGTCCTTGGTCTCGCTTGTGACGGGCTGATGCGTTTTTTGAGGAGGTGGGCACCTCCAAGGGGGTGTAGCACGTGGGAGACAGTGCGTGCGGCTCCTCCTTTGGGCGGTTCGTTCGTCCCCCCACAGGACATGCAGACGCGATTCCGAAGCTCGGGGTAGTCGTAAATTCATTGCGCGAATTTCTTCGTCCAGTCCGACGCTCTAGCGCCACTAGAATATTTGCTCAGCTTCTTATTGAAGCAGCTGGTCAACCCCCGTCGTGCGCATGTCTCGAGCTCGGCGTGTTTGTTGCTCTGAAGGACTTCTCCTTGCACGAAAGCTCACCAGCCTGACCCCATCGACCCCTCTGCTGTTTCATTTCAGGGCTGATGAGTGTAGGATCCAGCCGCGGACGGAGTCGGACGCAAACCGGCGGCACCGCATCGTCACCGTCAAGGCAATCACAATCAAGGCAACATCGACGACACCAGTCGGCGACTGCACGTTGGTCGTCCCCTCGCGACGCGCCCGCTACTTCGGTAAGAGTTTTCATGCGGTCTCTGTGTCGCGCTCATTATCCATTGGCCGTTACACAATTATGTTTCTTTGAGTGGGTAACTCTTGGTTTTGTGTACATATCGCTATGCCCCCGTTCCGATTGTCCATCCCCATCTGGTTTCCGACCTCGCAGCGATACATGCGGATTTGTCTGTGTTCCTGCCTACCACTTGCTACACAACTGGCGCACCCAACCAGGCACCGATTCACTTGTTCACGGAGCCCCCTCAGACTTGACCGCCCCACCTTTGTTATTCTTACCCCATCCAACTTAATCAACTATCAAAAGGAGCCCGGCACGGGCTCGATCTCTAGCGGCTCCACCAGCACCGGACGCATCGTCGCCGACGTCCTGAGCCACCCCACCATTGTCTCGGCGGAGTCCGACTTCAGCCTGTCTGAGGTCTTCGCGGGAGCCGTGAGCCCCGCCGGCCTCGCCGCCGCTGCCGCCGCCTCGTCCGCCGCCGACCTCTTCCGGTTCCATCAGGGGGGTGCCTCCGGTAAGCCTGCCGCCGCCGGAGCGAGAGCTGCTTCTTCTGTTGCGGCCTCCTCGTCTGCTCAGGCCGTGACACCGCGGGCCCGCACCGGGGGGGGAGGGGAGTCGCTCGGCGGGGGGTCTCCATCGCCGCCGGTGATCCGAGGGGGCAGGGTCGTGGCGGCGGTGGCGGAGGCGGCCGCGGAGACGGCGGCGGAGGAGGATGCGAAGAAACGAGGCGCCGAGAGGACGGCGGACGAAGGGCCGCCTGCGGCGGCGGGGAGAAGCGGCGTCCAGCCGGCCATCGGCACGGCCACGAGAGAGGTGTCGACGCCGCAGATGCAGGGGGCTTCGATGCCCGGCCGTCTCGGGTCGCCCCAGGAGCTGTCGCCGACAACGCCGCCCACGACGCAGAGAAAGGACGCCGTTGCCGACAGCGCCGCGGCGAGGAGAGGTGGCGGTGGCGTCAGCGAAGCGGCCGCGATGACCGCGGACCCGGCCGAAGTCAGCGGCGGGGACGGTAGAACCGTACTGGGACGCCTTGGCCTGACGCTTTCGTCGCACAACGAGGTTTTCCCGAGCAGGGTTATGCTGTCCCCCGGGACGGACTCTGACCCGGGGTCTTCGCCCTCGCCGGAGGTTCTCGTGCGGCGGTCCAGCCGGCCGTTTAGCGGTGGAGACGCGGGCCAAGAGGGTTTCGCGCCACATCCTCAAGGTTGGTGCTTCGTTCGCATGTATCGTGGTTTGCCGAAATCTGCTACTGCTGTGCACCAGTTAAAGGCCAGGGGCTTTGTCAACTACACCCTTGTGTGTGCATGCTTTTTTTTTGTGATACAAGTTGTTTGAACCCCCGTTGTGTACAATGTTTTGTCTTGACGAGCACAGCAAGTCGTGTAGACCACGCACGAATTTACGGTGTTTCATTTCCAGTCAGTTCACCTCACGCGAACCCCGGGTCCAGCAAGACCCAGCTCTCAACAAACAACCTACCCCTTCGATTCCCGCCTTGTTGTCTCGCAGAAGAGGGCGCCGCCGCGCAGAAAGAAGAGGAGACCGAGATCGGCGAGGGCGCTCAATCGGCCGTCACCCACGAGCCAACCCCGTCCCCCGACGATGTCCACGGGGTCACCGTCTCCCCGCCGTCGGCGTCGGACTCGAGCCTGGGGAGCAACCTGTGGTGCTCCGGTCCCTTCGCGAGGAGCACGTTCGGGAAGTCGATGGGCGGACAGGGAGCTGACGAGGCCCGCGACGGGCTCTTGGCGACGAGGTCCGGCAAGATGAGGGCACTGGGCACGTTGGATCTCATGCAGGTAACGATCAGGGTATCGGCAGCACTTGGGTTAGGCTAGCGGACCTTCCGCTACGGACCTGTTACTCTTCGTACCAGTAGTTTTTGGCTCTCGTGGACTCGTGCATTGGCGCGTGTGGCGTAAAAGAAGCTGTGAGCACGGTATTATTCTTGTGGCAGCCCTCGTCGCAAGATGTGGGCGCTCGGCACCTTGGATCTCATGCAAGTAAGCGATAACGGCGACAGTCGGGTTGGGCTATCGGGCCTGCCTTTGCGGTCCTTTTTTTTTTTTCCCAGGGGCGTTTCTGGCCAGTGTAGCGTACGCAGGTTTTCGTTTCTCAATATATTGAACGAAGAATAGGATCGTTGTTATTTTGGGACTTACGGTTAGGATTTCATTCGATCTACCCCTCCTTGATCGCAAGGGCAAGGATGCTGACTAGCTTCTGGTTCATCCTTGTGAAGCGTAGCCTGGGCCTGCGAAAACCTGCCATATCGCTGCGTCCCGGTATGCGTGGTCAATGGTCCAACGATTAGGGCATGGCGCTTACATGAGTACTCCCCCCCCCGCGCCCCTGCAGGTCGTTGGCACTTTCTCAGACTCGGAGAGCCCTTCCGACGACATCGACATCGAGGAGACGTCTCCGAGGGCCCGCGCCGCCGCTGCCTCCAACTCACCCCGGCCAAAGTCCCCACGACCGAAGTCGCCGAGGCCAAAGTCACCGCGGCTAAGCGTTCTGCCCGCCTTAGGGTCCGGCGCGACGAGACCGTCCTCGCCGATCATCACGCAGCAGCCGCAGCAGGAACAGCAGCAGGAACAGCAGCAGCGGCAGCAGCAGGAACAACAGCAGCAGCAGCAGCAGCAGCCCGCCCCGTCTCCTCTGCCTCCCATCCAGGCCGGGCTGGAGGGGATCATGGCAGGAGTTCACTTCCCTGGGGAGGCGTTGCCCAGGCCGGGGTACTCCCCTGGCATGGACTCATCACGCGAGTACTCGGAAAGCGACGACGACGATACCCCCGGGGGCGGGATGCTCAAGGGGGAACGGCTAGTGTAGTGGGGTTTGGTGGGTGCTGTCCTTTTCGCTCTTGTAATATTATTCACTACTGCCGCGGCCATGCGGCATGGGCGGGGGCGTGCCTCACGCAAGGGGAGGGGTTGTACTGGCTGCATTGTGCGGATTGACGGGATGACTTCAAACGTTGCGCGATGGTGTCATAGAGATGGTGTTCATGGAGTTGGGGCGCGATTGGATTTTTGATGTGGGGGGGTGTTTGCTTCATATCCGTCATGTTTTGAGCGTGCTACACCGCGAGGTTTCGAGCTCGATTTTTGTATAACTACTTTTGCGGCTGCAGTCGAAGTTAGTTGTCAACGCATCCATCCACATTGCAGTTGCAACCCCCCCAACCCCTCCTCTAATATACTTGATTGGTGAATGTACCCTGGGTCGGCGTTGTGTCGTCCTAGGTGAGGGTGCACGCCACGCCGTTGCCAGCAGTAGCTGCCGTGACGGCGACGGTGACGGGATCCATATTGTATTTCCTCTTTTCCTCGTTTCGCCTTGCTTTGAGACGTATTTAATTCGGACGGGGAGCGGGGTCGTTTAGAGCGCTATGTATTGGGGGGTTAGATTTCGAGAGAGCTGCGCGCAAGCCCGGGTATACTTCAGCTGGAGTCGTGCTTATGCCCTCTTGTATCCATCCAGTATGTCTGTTGCTTGCTTCGGCTGGAAAATGTCTCTTCGTCGTGAAAAGCTGGCTTGCCAGGAACATTTTTTCCCACCGCCGTAGGACAAGGCACATTGCGCTGGCGCTGGGACGAAATTAGACTTTGGTGTTCGGGTTGCAGTAAGTTAGCGGGAGACTGTCCACCAGATGAGCGCTCAGAGAGCTGCCTCGGGCCTTCTCTTGGTTTGTTCAGTTAAGAGTTGAGTGGTTTGCTGGGCAGGAAAAGGCAGGAGTATAGGTCGCCGATAGGAGTGTCGTTCGACGTGATGCATTGTCCATGAAGCAGTGCCTTCCGTGGTTGAGAGAGTTGTGTGGGAAGGGGGGAAACATACGGGGCCAGGCAGAGGGAAAGAAGGCACGGCCTGCAAACAATGACCGCGTGTTTGTGGCCGGTTCTTCACATAGTCTGCTAGCTGAGGATTCGTGAGGATAGATATTGTGCCAAGTGATTTAGTGTTGGTTGTGGTGCACACGTTTGTTTTTTGGAGTTGGGGGTGGTTGCAGTGGGTTGGCGAGGTGTAGTGCGAGGGAGTAGAGGTTTGCCGCGACGTGAGTGCGACATCGTCTTGGGGGACGCCTCTCTGCTTTGCCTCCTGTATTTTGCTTTGTTTCGGCTGTTTATTTCGGCGAGATGGCTGCTGTTTCTGTTCTGTTTTATTTAGTCTTCCGTCGTTGATACATATATCAGGCCAAATGTTGTCGTGCTTGGCTAACCAAGTCGATGTCTACAACCTTACATGTTCCATAAAAGTCCTTGATTTCTAATCGATTTCTAATCGAAGGCACGACCGTGCTGTGGCGTCCTGCAAGCGTCAGAGCTTGTTTGGCGTAGCCGAAAGCAAAGAAAGGGGTGTGGGAGCGAATGGCGGGGTTAGCAGAACGAGAGGACAAGGGCGCGGATGAATAGCATAGGAGCAACTGAAAGTTGTGTAGCTGGGAGCGACCCGTCGACACTTCCTCGGTGGTAGGCGTATTTTGACGTTGACAAAAGCCAATTCTTTGGCTGTTGCGGTAATTCATTTTTTGCATTGCCCATGGGCCCCCGTATCGCCTTGGCTTCACAGGTGCCCCCCCCCCCCTGTCATTTGCCAATTCCATAGCTATTAAGCTGTGATGATGTATGATTCCTTGGATGTTCGTTCGGGCCGATTTTCTTGTGTCCGTGCAGTGGTGTTACTCCGATTATCAAATAGTCAAATGGAGTGTTAATGTGTTAATTTTCGCCGAAGATTCATCTCCAACGATAAAAAAACCTGTGGAGGGAGAAGACGAAAGATCGTAAATGACAATCATACAACTTACTAATGATAGCGGGGATAAGGGCATAGGGAAATGTAACAGTCAGGGCAACCTTGCTCTAGCAACAGGCAGTTCGAGTTCGGTGTGCGGCATTCAATATCACTCTGTGTTGGTTGTTTTGGCGGGAGTATCCAGAGCGTAAGGTTGCAATGTTGGTATGCTGGTCGCTTGCTGGTTTTTTGTTTATTTAGCATTTTTTTTGTTTTCGTTACGTTGATGCGTGCGTGGCGTCATCAGCTCTTGTTTCTTTCGGAATCCCTTGTTCACAGGTTAGTGTTACCCCGTAAGGCGTTAATCGCGCGGGTCAGCTAGGTTACAGTTTCAAGGGTATTGTCTAGCCGGGAATCCCTTTACGGTACGTCGCCCTCTTGCTTCGTGCAAGGAGTAGACTGTATTTTTTCGTTTGACCGAACGATAATTTCCGCGCCGGTTCTCGTCAGGTGCTGAATACTTCCATTCTTGCCCTGGGTGCCGTGTTTCATAACCCAGCCAGCCAGTCGTTCGTTTGTTCGTTCGTTCATCCATGTGCGTTGTAGTTTTTAGCAATGCAGACACGCGATCAAGAAGATACGGTCTTCCTTTTGTTTGTGTTTTTTTGCTACGGCAACGAGCGGGACTCGACAGCAAACTTGGTGGTCACGCACGGCTCACGTGGCACCCTCTTCCTTGGAATACGCATGTGGCCAGTGGGAACCGCTGTATGCAAGCGCACGTTGTGCAAGGCATGTCTCCCGACGTTTGTTCGCTGTATCCCAACGGTACAAGGCACCTACTTTGTGTTCAACCTTGCCGGGGCAAGGGTTAGGCTTCGTGCAAGCTTGAGGGCACAACAAGGAGCTGACTTCCTTCAACCGCTGTAAAGGCACAAGGTGTTGACCTTGTGAAACCTATAGGCAACAACAAAACATCGATCGTCAATGCTGCGGCGGTGATGTGACCGACATTCATCATGTTCGCCAAGTAGGTTCTTCCGGCGACCGAAATAACGTGATTTATTGTGATTTGCGAAGATGAAAGAAATTAATCGTCCTTTTACCTGACTATACTACACCCCACGAAACGTATTTGGTCTGTCTGTGAACGAAAGAATTACTGGAAGTAACGTAAGGGAACACTTGATCGGTGTCCGAGGGCTCTTTTCTCGAACAGTAGGTGCGATACCTGTTCTTTTCTTTCTTTCGATCATTTTGTTTTCTTTTTCCGAGTGGTTTGTATCCTATTTTTGTTTTTTGTTTTCTCGCGGCGTCGTATGTGCCGGGTTTTGAGACCACGGGCTCCCCATTTTTTGTGGACTATAGAGCTAATGTGAGAAACAACAACAACAACAACAACTTCAGAGTTGTCCTACGGTAGGAGATAGACCCCCATGAACATTGGCTGCGCGGCCACGAAACTCCGTGTACCTTTTACTAAAGGATATCAAAGACGAAGGAAGCCTTCATAAAACAGAGCGGAAGCCATGATGGCATGGATAGACTATGTCCGAGATTTTAGATTTACGCGCAAGGAACATAGAAAATAATTAATCGTTCGAGGCCACCCGATTATCGGCTCACTTTTCTCACCCCCGGTTGTAGGATGGCTCTTTCATCGTAAACATCTATCCGGTACCAGGCATGCATGTATCTGTCCTAATGGACACATCTCTGAGTAATCAATGTTTAGTTTGTTGCAGTATGTACATGTAGTTATGTTTTAGCAGTAACCGTTGACTACCATATCACAACAAGGACAACAGTCACGAGTAACAAAACACAGAGAAGAAGGAAGCTAAATAAATGTATCTAGCTGTACCAAATATTTACTATTATTTCTGCTCGAAGCTGCTCATGACATCGTTGACATAGATGGAGAGAACACGTTTTATCGAGACGAGAGTAGAGAGTGGCAGAAAAACTGACCCCTTTCCACCTCTACTCTGTCTCGCTTCTGGTATTATCATGGATTTATGGCGTGTCTTGGACGGATTACGGATGGATACTGTAACTTGTCACATTGAACTCTACTCATGCCGCAGTAGTAGTCGGCAAGAAAGGTAGGGAGAGACCACTTGTATATTATACTGCAGTACATACAACAGTCGGGAAGACACAATGCAGGTGCTTGAAAAAAAAAGTTTTCGAGTCGCTTCGAGCCATTCTCGCGCAGTAACTGCTGTTGCATCTGCCCTACTATGACTTCGATTCACCAGCAGGCTGCAGCTGCTGCCGTAGATTGTGCTGCAGGGAGCCGGAGAGCACCTAGGCTAGATGTATGCATAGATAGGTCGGGGGATTTCGAGATTTTTCCGCGGGGACACTCGAGACCTCCCCCCTTGGAAAGAAAGAACGAACCGCCTGAACCGGTGAAGGCCATTTTCAAGAACAGTTATGCATAGGTTTTTTCAAGATGTTTTGTTGGGATCTTCAGAGGATGGAATCCAGCCCTGCAGGGGAGCAAATACTGGGAGCGTAGCTACCTAGCTCAGACCACCACCAACATCACACCACATGTACAACAGGTGGTAAGCATTTTTGGATATGGCCGCCAACGCGTGAGAGAGCAGAGATAGAGACAGAGAGAGCTGAAGACCTGGGTGTGAGAGCGGCGGTACATCTATGCGCGGAGACGCACGCTGCTGGGCGGAAAGCGAGGCGTGAGCGGAAGGGGTGGATCCAAGCAGCAGGCAACACACGAGCGGGAGAAAAGCACACGGAAAAGCACTGTCGGCGGGTATGCATTCGATGCGTAGCACGCACGTGCACAGATGTTCAAGTTGCATCAGCACACAACAGTTGGGAAGAGCGGGCCGCGGTGGAGATGTTGCTTTGCGTGCATCCGTGATCGTCCGCCCTGTCTGTCTGTTGTGTGGGTTGCGTGCGTGTCTTCTTCGAAGCATCACAGGGTGTGACCGGCTGACCACTTCCACTCTGACGTTCAGTCGGTGTCTACTGCTGTATAGTTTTCCGGGAGACTTTTTGTTTGTTGTGGCCACAAGAGCTGCCGTTTCTACCAACTAACCTCGCCAACTCTGCCTGCCTGGGAGAGGGAGGACCCGATAGGCATGGTATCTACCCGTGCGTGTACAAGCTGTAGCTGTGCCTTTTGCCCCGCCCGCCGTCTCTTTTTTTTCCGTTCAGGCAGGCGGCAAAGCGAAGAATGCCGGGTATTGTGTAGCTGCTGTGAATGCCGGGGTATTCCTGCCGTCGAGGGATCCTCTCGGCGTGCCGGTACAGGAGTACCGCTCCCTCTCTCTCTCTCTCTCTCTCTCTCTCTCTCTCTCTCTCCCTCTCTTTCT